TTAACTAAGGTTAGAATGATCGGCACCACAAAGACAGGTGAGAAATTTAGAAAAAAAGAAGCTCAGCAATCGCACTGCATCCATGCATTAACACACAACCACACAATTGGGTGGGTGGGAGGAAGAGGGTTACGATTCTAAATAGTAATATAGGGGATTGACTATTGAATCCTTGTTCATCGAGTCTACATCCAACACGTGCAATAGAAGTGCCTCATCACTCATACCAGATATCTGGAAAATACTACCACCAATCATATGAAGACATGAGAAATAACGGAATTATATAAAGGAAGCTAGAAAGTTGTGTGAGTAGTGCGCCTTGATATGATTATGAGGTGCAATAATAAATTGTGCTCTAAACGTGTGGTCATCAGTAGTAAAGATCACTGGATAACAAACACTGTGAGACATTATCAAGATAAATTTTATCCACAATGGAGTCGTATGTACACATAACAGAGAGAATTCATAAAAGCAATCAAATACTGGTGTAATATTGTCCTACCAAATGTGCGTCGGTTGGCACAGCTCGCCGACCATGCACATGGTCCGGGGTTCGATCCCGGCCACAGGACGCACTCCTCCTTTACCTCGCTAAGCCAGAAATAATGCTGATAAAGAGGTAAGGATGGGTGGGCATGAGGCTAGCAATCCCATCCTGTAAAATAAACACACTGCTACAGAAACTTCAAACCACTAGCTTGAAGCCCTATGTTCCACTGGGGAACGTGAAGGAAAAAAAAATGATCTACAAGGGAATATCCAATTAACATTTCAATATTATATACATTCATCGTTTGATGAGAGTTAGTCTATCATCAGAATTATTAAAAAAAAACTATGAACCTTGTGTACAAACTATCAGATCAAACATTACATCGTTAAAAGGAGTAGTACTCATATATATGGGTGCTGGAATTTACAGCATATTATGAAAACAGGGGTTCAGTAAACAACCGCCAAAAATTTTGATATAAGTATACAACTTAAGCCCTATGGTAGTAGAGTATATAACTCCATTATGGATAAAATAAAGTTTTGTTTTATTCTGATAAAACCATACGGTGTAGAGTGTTGTTATACAGTGTTATATTTTTGCTACTGATGACCACTGACCGTTGAGTACAATTCATGCACTGCTCATAATCTCATAACAAGCAAGGCACTAACTACTCACACAACTCGCTTTCTTGCTTCCTCGTTGTTTATATATACATGAGTAAAATTGATGTGATTAGACATTTAGAAAACCGAAAACCAAATAATTGAGCCATCAAAGAATATTCTTTTGATGGTATTAGATGGTTGGAAGCAATCGGTCACAGGAAGCCTTGGACACCACCGAGGTTTTGTGTTAGTTGGCATTCACCAGTCAGCAAGGCGTATCTGCAACCTTGAAGGAACTACTCATGTCCCTTCTGAGATTCGAACCCGCGTCACCATCCAGTGCTGCAATCGGTTTCCTACCAATTGCCTCCAACCATCTAATACCATCAAATCAATGTGCACCGTGATGGTGAGCTAGCTAGAATGGTGGTCACATTACAACCTGGCTGATAGAATTCAGTCTATACCAATCAGAGGACTAGACGCATCACACTAGTTACTAGTGTCAAATCAAAAGAATATCCTTTTTGATAATTTCCACTTCTGGCGTCGGTGGCACAGTGGTTAGGACTCTTGCCGACCATGCACATGGTCTGAGGTTCGATATCCTGCCGACGCACACCTGATATCTATTGTCGGTCTGCGAAATTCGGGCTACGGATATCCATGTGTAAAATTCCATACTTGTACCAAAAATACAGTGTGGAATCAAGCTGTAATCAAAAATAAAATTATGTATGTATAAACAGAATACCCTAGAATAGTAGTCAATAACAATATTTGTGTTTTTTAAGTAATACCGATTTGTAAAGTAAGATCACAATGGAATTACACTTCATTAAAGATGCTTAAATTATAATAATAACCACTAAAATGTAATAAATAGCAAATAAAAAATATCAACTAAAATTAGGAAAATTCCACACAATTCAGGACCATTCAAACCTAGATGGCCAAGGTAACGATAATGTCTGAACTCGCTTCTTTTGGACACATAAATTAGGCTTTTTGATGTGTATCCCAACGGCCAACCTCAGCAATATTTGGTAATCGAAGTCTTAAGGCAAAATTGAGATTCGTGGGTATGCGGTAAATGACCCTGAAAGCATGGTTAACGTCAGTCTTGTGTTGTCCATCCAGAAGATGAGATAGAATAGCGCTATGTGAATAGATTTTGTTTGTCCTTTGCTTAACCACTGTGCAGGGTTGTGTTCGGAAATTCGACGAAGAACACGTCTAATTTTACGGCTATGTAACTGGCTCCACAGGAGCAGTTAAATTGGTAGATACACATGGAAGAGGCGAAATTGGGCAGTTTATCTTTCACTGCCGAACACAAAAGAGGAGTGGTCTTGAAGACACAAAGTAATTCGACAGCAGAAAATGCTTTTTTCACCGCCACATTTCTAAGGCGGTTTGGTTAGTATCTCGCTGATGTTGTCCCCAAGGAACTGAAATTGTAAGAATAAGGCCTTTTTTGGAACTGTTCGGAAACTTGGCCTGCTTTGGTTTCAAATTCATATTCTTATCAATAAACTTTTCAGGATAACCATTTTCACTTAGCAACCGTTTAATATTATTAAGTTCCTCATCAAGACATTCGTCCAAGCAAATTACTCTTGCTCTGTGGCTGACCAATCACTTTATCAGATTGCGTTTGTATTTCAAAAGGCACAAAGATGAAAAAAATGAGTATACTGACAGTCAGTTGATGTAGATTTTCTATATACACCACTTCTTCTTCTTATTGTGCCATCCCCTTTTATGGTCATAGGGACGTCTAAAAATGACATAGTAGAGTCTTTTTCTCTCTCAATGATAGCAGTATTCTCAATAACAGTGTTTGTGTTTTTTAAAATAATATCGATTTGTAACGTAAGATCACAATGGAATTACAGTTCATCAAAGATGTATAAGTCATAATAAGCATACATACAATTTCTACAAAATAAAATTGAGGATCATTTAAATCTACATGACCAGCGAGTTAAGGACAATGTCTGAATTAGCTTCTTCTTTTGGACGCACAAATTAGGCTACTTAAAGCGGATTCAAACACCTGACCTCAATAATATTTAGTAAACGAACTATTAAGGCGATATTAAGATTTATTGGTATACGACACGGTAAATGACTGACTTTGAAAGCTGTCGTCTCGTTAACATTATCAATCTTGTGTGTTCTGTGTATCGACAAGATGAGATAGAATAGCGCTATGTGAATAGATTTTGTTTGTTTTCTTTATTGAACCACCACGCGAGGTGATGTTCGGAAATCCGATGATTAACACGCCTATTTGTACGGCCTATGCAATTGACTGGCTCACTCCACAGGAGCATAAGATAGAGTACATTCAGAAATAATAATTATACAACTCATCTAACAGTTGTACGACAATGCTGCATGCCAAGTAATCCACAACAAGAAAGTCACGGAATCCTTCGAAGTGAGGATGGGAGTGAGGCAAGACTGTCTATTATCGCCAGTGATTTTGCTGATTGCAGTAGATTGGATAATGCGACAGACAGACAGACAGCGGGCAACTAGGAAACAGGCATAAAATGAACCCACACAAAAAAACGTGGAGGATCTGAACTTCGCCGATGATAATATTTGTCTGATTTCCAACAAACTGGAAGTTATGCAAGTGATAAGCAACAAGTTGGCAGAAGAGGCATCAAGGATAGGCCTTTAGATGAACATAGAGGAAACAGAGGTGACGATAAAGATTGCTGGGCAACAGCTCTACAGCAACAGACAACAGACAAAAATCAGCCAGCATAAACGGGAGGAATCTGAAAGTAGCAACCTCTTGTAACTACCTATCTGGGAGTCATTGTTTTAACTACAGATGGTCGAAGCTGATGAGGATATCAAAGCGATGAGGATCGGGAAAGTAAAGCAAGCTTTCATTACTCTCAAGTCTGCGTGGAGGTCAACAGCACTCAGCATGAAAGTGAAAATAAGATCCAGATTTTCAACTTCAATGTGAAGTCAGTGCTACTCACGATACGGATCAGAGACTTGGCCAGCGCGTCATAAAGAGCACCTCAGACAAACTAGTCTTCGCTCAATACTTCTTAAGATCACTTCAAAATTTTATGTTGAAAACAGACAGACAGACAAAATATTAGTGTTATCAATCAAATACAATCAGATGGGAAATAGGATGTCTTATCACAGTAAAATAAATAAATAAACAACTTTTTAGAATGTTATAATGTATGTGAATTGAAATAGAATTTTGAGACTATTTATTATCCTCCTCTGATTTCACTGACTGACTGGTGGTAATAATATCTTCCATGCATATCTCTGGTATTTGCGTTGAGTCATTCCTATTGAGCATGTGTTGGGTGTAGACTCGATGAACCAGGCAGGATTCAGTAATCAACCTCTCTCTCTCCATCTACATAGATTACTTGTTAGAATTTTAACCCTATTCCACCCTATTGTGTGGTTGTGTGTAAATGCGTGAAGTGCAATTGCTGAGCTTTTTTCTCAATTACTTATCTTTTCAGGGTCAACCATTCTTACCTTAGCTAAATTCTTATGTTCCGACATTCTGATTACCCCAGATCTACTAGTTTGACTGGCCTATGTAATTGTTCTCACTCACAGTCATTGCAGGGTATTTTGTAAATTATGTTATTTTGTCTAATTGGGTCAACCGACAGAGTCCTTTAGCCTACAGAGCTTGTCCCTGTCTGAATGCCACCACTCAAATTCCTGCTTTGTTAAGAATCCTAATGTAGGAAAGGTTTCAGATGTCCCCTCCCTTCTTATCATGGTAAAACTATAGATGCCTTAGTTTCTCTCTTATTTATGTTATCACTGTATGACTTATTCAAAATAAAATAATCATTCATAATGGCGCCAAAATTATTTTTTTAATTAAAAAATCCACTTACTAAATTCCAAGCATCCATATGTTCTTTGCGTAATTCACTTTCAGGATAACGTAAGGCAAATGTTAATTCTGTGAAAACTAATCCCTCTAGCCGTGATCTTTCTTTAGCTAGTGGACCAAGATCTGATTTAAATTGAACTAAATCATGTTCAGTGACAGAGATCGGTTGACTGGATATTTGTATACCAGTAATAAATGTGTATGATTGTGTCCTATATTGTGCGAAAAAAAAGACGGAAGGGAAACTTATCAACAAACAAACAAAAAATTGAAGTCGACAGTTTGAAGCCTCGAAAATGACTGTGGTGATAGAGAGCTATCTGCTAGACAACAATTTACGTCCCGAGTTGGGGGTTATGAGAAAAAATAATAAGAAAGTTTAACTTTGTGGAACTCACCAACCAATCACATCAGACTTAACATGTGCAAATACGATTCGCAGACATATGGCTTAACTTTCTAAGAAACGGTTACAAGCAGTACAAAATAACCTTCAGTAAGAAAACAACCAATCAGAAGACGTTGCTTCTCTGATAACAATAACGCTAATAATAATAATGCACATAAAAATCTATAAATATCTGTTGATTTTCTCAATAAATGATCCGCTGCCTGGCCCTTGTTTTCTGTCATTACAATGCTATCATATATGAAGAGAAAAACAAAAGAACCTTTTTGAGTACAACTCATAATAAGGCCAAGATTAGGTTGGCACTGAAAACCAACCAATTCACTTTTAAGAATTGGATAGATTTAATTAAGAACAAAAATAATGTAATACTATGCTGTAACTATGAGGTCAATTAACCAGATCAAAACAGGGTAGATCGGGGTAAGTTAGGATTATTGGAACAAAGGAATTTAGCTAGATATCTGAAATATTTGACCTTGCTAGGTTAAATAATCTAGAAAACTGCTCAGCCTTTGTTATATATGGATCGGTTTGCATAATAATAATAATAATAATAATAATAATAATAATAATAATAATAATAATAATAATAATAATAATTTGCTTTATTCCAAAAAAGTACTTCTGACAATGGAATTTTCAGCATTTCACTGCAGTATTGCGCGTCCAGTTAGTACATTAACAATAAATAAATAAAATTCTACATAGATTATGGGTAATCTCAGTTAGTTTTTGACAACGACATATTGCCATGTCGGTAGCAAAGCCAAAATTGAACCGAGTGTTTGAAGGTGTCAGAAAAGTATATACTTACTGGCATATTTACTGGCGTAAGCGTTAACAAAAAGGTCGACATATACAGAGTGTGAAAGAACGAAGAAGAAGGTTTTAAGTACAGTTTGTAAGGAAGAGAGGAACAAAGCAGCACATAACAGTAAAAAAGAGAGAAAAGGAAAAGAGAGGAAGAAAATGTTGAATCTACAAATGATATGAGTTGGAAAGACGAGATCCAATTGTTCTGCTGACTATTTGATAAGTTAACAGTTTCACGCCTAATGCTTTCTTTATCGCACAGAACACGAGCTAAGTAGGGTATGGCTGAGTTTTTGTACTCACTAGTGCGAGTGTATATAGTTTCCTATACAGGCATAATAGGCTAAGACAGGGTAAAAATGTTAAAAAGTAATATAGTTAGGTAAAGGGAGAGATTAATCATCACCGATTTTCGTAGTACATGCTTGGTGTTCATTCGATGAACACTGAGAAGGAAGGCAGCAACGGCTATCCACCCCCCCCCGCCCCCATAAAAGGATATTAACGGGTGGGGGAAAGGCTACATAAAGCAAGTAAGTAAGTTGTGTGAATACACCGATAAGATTATGTGCCTATACTTTGTGTACTTTAAACGTTATCCAGTTTAATAACAGTCTATCACTATGCATGATATCAAACGAACTCATCTAAAGTGAAATTATGAAGTTGGTGATGCGGCTTTAAAAGGCTATCTGGAGTGTTTCTGTGGCTCTCATCGTTGTTTGTGGTCACAGAGTGAAGTGAAGATGATTCACTAGCCTGCAGAATAGTACTAACTGTAGTAGAGAAGCAAGATGAGGAAGGTGATGTGAGTAAAGGAGAATGATGCTCAGGAAGGTTTCGTGTGCTTTATGAAGTGTGTGGGCGATTGTTACTTCCCGGCTGCCCACACCATATGGAAGCTGATTGATTCTTCGGGTACCTGAAACAGAAAGGGGGCTAGTGTTGAGTGACCACAGAGCCCAGGGGACAACTTCTTGAGGCCAGCCTGTCATACACGGCCTGTATGAACTGGTTTCTGGGATTGATTCCGTATTAGTTAACTTACCGCCGGTCAAGGACCACCGTAGGGTAAGTCAAGATGTACAATATCTGGGGTCGACCTTTCCTAACTCCCTCTGTCCGGAGTGGAGAGATAGCATAGCTGGCTGGTATGCTGGTCATCTGAAGGAGCCACCTCACTGCTCTGACACCCCTGTTCTCCACCAGTACGACTTCGTCCTCAGACCCCCCAGCATAGTGTAATAAAGATTCTTACACAATTCCGTTAACTGCTTTTAGTTTAATTTCGCTATCCTAACAACCTTCCTGACATGGTAGGACCTGCAGGAACATTGGTTTTAGCCAGTTGAGCTTGTTGGGTCATCGCGATGTGCAGGACCGACCAACAGGTCAAGGTAGCAGTTATCGGACGGGCTTACCTAAGAAAAACTACCACTCAAACTCACAACAATCATACCTTTCATCACAATAACCACGCTCCCACCATACACACACAACATACTCAACAAACACTTGGTGTAGACTTAATGACTGGGGTCCCCGGGACGGTAAAAACCAATAGCTGGAAACAATTGGTGACATGACTCAAAATCGTTATTGTCAATGGCTGGCGCAGATGCATCCACTCCTTGTGACTTATGATTTCCAATGAAACTATATTGTTCTTCGTTATTACTATTCCTTTATCTCACACCTCTGTTTACTGTTGTTATGTTCTCGTCGCCAAATTATTGTTATGGACTGGTCGAGAATTTAATAGTCCTGACGCAAGAAAGACGGAAATCAGAAGACCATTAGGTTTGCGATGATACTTCTATTTTCCAAACACAAGGAGAATGCAATAAGTGGTATCACACCAAAGTAAGTAAGTCACACAAATTGTGAATGCGAAATATATATGAATGTCCAGACAAGTGTGTGAACAAATCAATAAACAGTCTTAACATGAATGGCTAATTATAATGGAGTATCGATCCATATATACATAGCAAAATATAGCAGACATGTCAACAACCACACATATAATATGGATATATGTCACCAAGCAATGGACTGTCAACAAACACTCATATTATGTATAATATAAGGGGAATATACATTGTTAAAGGAGACAGGTTCATCAAAGTGAAATGGTCACAGACTAAGCGAGCAAACAGAAAGAGAGACCACCATATATATATATATATATATATATATATACCAACTGTCTCTATTATGCATTTCTTCTACTATCATCTCTTGCTTTGTGTTCTACAAGGAGGGAGTGTGGTGACTTGAATTGCCGCACATATGTGCAAAGCTCTATGTCGAAAAAACAGACAGACAAAATGAAATTATACCCAACTAAAGTGGCTGGCGGCCTGCTTGAAACCTGAAATACCGAAAAACCCCATTAATATATATAGTACACACAATTCCTCTTATTTAGTTTGTTTAAATTTAGTATAGGCAGGCATTGGACCAGACAGATGGTGTATCAATCATATCTTCCTTCACCCTCTGACCGATTCTCGAATATAGGCATGCCTAGTGGCGTCCAAAAATCGTCATATTTCTTAACCTGAAAGTAACATTCGATTCCTTCAACCGAGAGGCACTATGGTGATGATGGATTGTGAAGGGAATGCTGAGAAAGTCGCACTGATGAAGGTCCCCTACTAAACGCATACAGCCAGTCAAATGAGAGCCTACGGAGGATTGTCATCTGAAGCGGTGATAACCAGAGATGTCCGTCAGGGATGCACACCTTTCTCATTGCTTTTTAGTTTCATCATAGATGTAATGATAGACTTAACCTTTGAGTGACTTCAGCAACTCAGGGAATAACTTATTACTGGGTGTCGAACCCAGGACCTTTCGGTTACAACGCAAGCTCGTATATCATTCAGCCAGTGGGACACGATTCAATGGCCCACAAATATAATATGATGATTGATACATGACTGGACAACATTGACTCCAAGCCTAAAAATAGGTAGTGAAGTGGTATAGCAAGTTGACCACTTCACTTCACTTATTTGGGAAGTTGCATCAGCCAACACCAGCTGGTTGATCGATCCCTGAGAAAATCTCTGCGCGGATACAGAAGGTTCGTTTGGCATACGCCAACTTACGATATTTCTGGCGTAGACGTGATATCCGGCTGACTGTCGCGCAAGAGAAGTGTGTACTCTTCAACAGCACATTTGCTCCATCCTCCTTTATGTCTGTGACTGAGATACGACGACTGAAAGTAGAAGACATGAAACGCTTGACCAGCTAGCTGTCTTAAATCAGAGGTATCTGCATTTTATCTCCAGTATGTATTAGGTGGTGGTATGATACGGTAAACAATATTGAGGTTAGTCATCGATGGTGACAGTCACTGACAACGATTTTCAACCATATCACTAATTTTCTCCAGCAGTCATTGCTTTTCACCATCCTGAAGACCTCAACCAGCCAGCCACACAGTCTACACCTCTAGACGCGGTTGGCTGACCGGATTAAACTAACTGTTGTGGATTACACTGACTGTTGAAGCCATATTTTGGTTTGACCACTACTAGCTAACCCTCTTTCAACCTCATCCATCCTATGTCAGTCAGCTAACATCGCTCGTTGGTCAAGGAAGGTGATCGATGGTTCAGTGGTATGCGCAACACATGTCCTTGCCATCTCTCTCAATCGATGTAACTTCACAACCACCTCATCGATTAATTTCCCCTCATTACCTAGCATTAGACCATCGATGCATAACTTCAGTATTGTTCACCTTGTTATATCACCACCTAACACGGGATGCAGATAGAATGCAGACACATACGATCGAAGACGGCTAGCCTTTTCGTGTCTTCTACTTTCAATGGCCATATCTCAGCCACAGATATAAGGAGGACGGAGCGAAAGTGTTGCTGACCAGTACACACGTCAGTTGGTCGATAACTAGCCAGATATCACATCCACTAAGCCGGAGATGGCCTGTGTTCGCGCGTATGCCAAACCAGCCTTCTGTATCCGTGCTGAGATTTCGTCAGCGATCGATCAACCCGCTGGTGTTGGCTGACGCAACTTGGCAAATAAGTGAATTGAAGTGGTCAACTCACTCTACCGTTTCACTCCTTATCTTTAAGCTAGGAGTCAATTTTGTGCAGTTCTGTAGGAAGCATCATATTACATTCGATACAAGTGCGTGAATCGCATTCCAAACATTGATGGATTGCCTACTACTCAAGGTGTTTACAGGACTTTACCAGGAGGGAGGACTATATCATCTGTATATTCTAAGTCAACGAGATTATTCCCTGCTAATAACAAGTCAATCTCCGTTAAAGAGTTACACGGAGATCATGTGAAGACAAGATTGAAGCTTTATGTGAATAGGCCTTCAAACCAGATGAAATCGATGTAGTAGACCTGAGTTCAATGGAAAAGTGCCGCTGAACGCAAGGAATGAATGATAATAATAATAATTCTTATTTTACTTTACACAAAATTACTGAACGAATGAATAAATAAATGATTGGTTACAGGATTTCACCATGAGCTGACATTGGTTAGAGAACCATTGGGACTCTTCAGCACTACGAACCCAGGACCATCTGGTCACAACCCAAGCGAGCTCGCATACCATCAAGCCACTGGGACCCGATCCAATGGCTCATGAATTCTAACTTCTGCCTATTCAAGTCATAACCAGTAGGGTGCAGAAGGTCAGGTGTGAAGACAAATGCTTGCCAAAGACATTGGCTAGCAGTTGCGCTATATGGTGAATTGGCAGAAGTTACAATTCATGGACCGGCCATTGGATCGGGTCCCAGTGGCTTAATGGTATACGAGCTCGCCTTGTAACCAGAAGGTCCTGGGTTCGAACCCCGGTGGGTGTGTACCACTGAAGAATCCCAAACTAGGACGAAACAGCTGGCTGTCCAGTACTCCCACCTGGTTTTCCAATGGTTCTCTAACAAATGTCAGCTCATGATGAAATCCTATAACCAACCAAATCCCTACAACACCTAAACAAATGATTGTAATTCAATTTAAATAATAAAGAGCAAGAAGTAAAAACTTACGATCCAGACGGAACTGTGAGATTATCCGGAAAAACTGGTTCGTAGACAACAACTAATAATACCTGAGTGTTAGTATGAATATTTTCTATAGACGGTAATCGTACAATGCCGCAGGCGACTTGATAGGTTACTTCTTCAGGCGCATGATTTTTTATCTCACTCTTTCTTTGAAGTCTATTGAAGAAAAAAAAAGACGAATGAGAAGAAACAATGAGAGGAGGATATATAGCACAGTACGAGTTGGTAAGTAATCCATATATATATTGTTCCCTTGTGTTCCGAGTGGAAAATAGGGCTTCAACAACACATCTCCACTTTGTTCCGTTTTCTACCATCCTCTTCAGCTGGCTGGATCTACGATTGACCAAACTCTCTCATATTTTTTTCTCCTCCTCGCCACATGATTTCTTCCATGTCACCCTCGCAAAATGATATCCGGATATCGATCAAGGGACAGGCTAAATAAAGGCAACCGATGAAATTCAGTATTTTCACACTTATCATGCATGTTCTGTAGGGTTGACTATTTTACCAACCACAAGCGGGAGGGAGGTGATAAACACATTGAATGGTACCACAAAGAGATACAGTCGATACAGTCTCGACGATTCATTAGAAAATGATGCCAACACCTTTATATCTACACAGGTCAGCAGCAAGTTTTTACGTAATTGCCTTCTGTACTCAGCTGAAACCAGTTGTTTGATGTCTTGTTTAGAGTCAGCATAGTGATGACCAACTGCTCAATACTATTGACTTCAATTGATCGAATATTTTGTTCAACACTGAAAGAGGATTTACTTGTCAGTCCTGAAAACTGGACATTTTATATACAGATCATTCGCATTTGTCGAAATGTCACAAGGTTTTATTTGTATAAGCGTTCATGATATACCAGAGTAATTGAGAACGTATTTTTCTGGTGTGACAGGGAAACACAAATAAGTATCTGTTGCTTTAAGAACACATAAGGCGGGAGCTATAGAGATTTGCATATTCACATCTTCTTCTTGAAATTCAATCAGTGTAGTCCATAAAAATTTCAATAAGTTTTATTCCAAACAGTTTTTCTGAAGTTCATTAGTCAAATCAAGACGGGATATATATATAATAAAAGATGTTAAAGCGAATGCACCCTAAAAACCTAGTGGCAACTTGTAACGTTTAACCGAAAATATTTTGTTAGAAAATACAAGCTACTCACAAGTGTTATAAGTAATTAAAAAGTAAACAAGTGCAAAAACTCACTTTAAAAGCCGAAGCGATACAAGTTCTGTCCAATTCTTTAGGTTACCCTTTTCAATTTTTACAGTATTATCCCAGTCCTATGACACAAATAAACAAATATTATTATGTTTATTAGGAAACTATTTAGGTAACATAACGACTGATAGAGGAATCGTGAATCAAAATGGTCATTTACAAGTTATTATACAGCTGTTCCTGGTGGAAAATATACCACACAGCTCGCTTTGAATATAAAAAATATTAGAATAAATATATGAGATCACCTTGGTGTCATAAATAGCGACCAAGAAAACAAGTAACATAGGATGTACTCCTAGTAGAGTAGTTGGAAAACCCCTGATGTCAACTAGTAGTGCTTGTTAGTTAGCCAAAAATCTAAGTGGTTGAGTTGACATCAGTTAGAGAACCATTGGAAAACCAACAGGGAATACTGGACAGCCAGCTGTTTCACCAGTCTAGTTTGGGACTGACTCTTCAGCAGTATGCCCGTTCGAACCAGGGTCCTTCAAGGTTACAAGGCTAGCGAGTTCGTAGACCATTGACCAGCCACTAGGACTCGATCCAATGGCCAGTCCATAAATTCTAACTTCTGCGAATTCAATTCTATGTGATCTAGACATTAAGCCTTGAGGTTCTGATATATATTTAAACAAACCTAATTTCTTACAAGTCTCTTCGTACTTCTCTCACTCTACTTATTAATTTGTGAACTGACTTTCTCTCACCCTACCCATGACCTTTGAAATCCTATTGGTTGTTCACTGTCTTAATTCATGAATGACATTAGTGCTCCCCAAGGTCACTTTAAACATATGTAAATGTAAGCTTTGTCAACCTTTTTTTTGACTGTTGTTTTGAGACAGTAAAAAATGCCTTACCAACAACGTCCAATCTTCTTCTGTCTTTGCAACCCGGTGGTAGTAGTGTTTCACGTGCAATTAGAACAGATCAGCCAGCGCATTTAGTTAGTATTCGCTCAAAGTCTACTACTAGGTCGTAGTTCCGGTCAAAACAGGTTCTTTAATATTTTAGATACTTATTCTCATAAATTTATTATTGACAAAAAAAATTACAAAACTTATTATTATTTCCTTTGATTTTTAGAGGAATATAGGGCTTCAGCCGCCCAAGTCTCCATTGCGTTCGGTACTCTGCTACAGTTTTCACCTGGCTCCACGTCTGCTCACATGCTTTCATCTCCTATTCACATCACCTCCTCCACTCCAAGTCACCCTTGAATTGACGATCAACTCGCCGCTTCCCTTTCGCGTTCCCCACGAACAATAGATTGTCTAGTGATGTCACTTGATGGTTTGTTTCCTCAGAGTATGACGAGCCAATCTACCTCTCTCCTTTTCTTCCTGCCTATTGGTTGCACAATCGGTTCCTGCTGGGTTGGTTCGCTCATTGCCAGAGATCCCTGTTGCTGATCTTTTCTGGCCAGCCAGGTGATCTTGAGTAGTATTGAGCGAAGACAACTGTTAATGAAGGTCTGTAGTTTGTTTGAGGTGCTCTTTATGACACGCAAAGTCTCTGATCCATATAGCAGCAGTGACTGACTTCACATTGGAGTTGAAAATCCGGATCTTATTATTAATGCAGAATGCTGAGTAGTGCTGTTGATCTCCTTCACACAGATTTGAGAGTAATGAAAGGTTGTCTTGCTTTCCTGATGCTCGCTGCTTTGATATCCTCACCAGTTCCGTCGGCCTGTAGTTGAAACAATGCTTCCCAGGTGTGCAGGTGAAAGAGGTTGTTTCTTTCAGGTTCCTCTCATTTATGCTGATTGTTGTCTGTTGTTGTTGGCCAGGAATTTTCATCACTTCTGTTTTCTCTATGTCCACCTGAAGTCCTTGCTATTTTTGATACTTCTTCCGCCAACTTGTTGCTTTTCACTTGCATATCTTCCAGTTTGTGGAAAATCAGACATATATCATCGCGGGTGAAGTCCAGATTCTCCAAGTCTTTTGTGTGAGTCCATTTTATGCCTGTTTCCTCATCTCCCGTTTTCTGTCGAATTACCCAATCTACTGCAATCAAGAAAATCATTGGCGATAGTAGGCAGCCTTGCCTCACTCCCGTCCTCACTCCGAAGGATTCCATAAGTTCCCCGTTGTGGATTACTTGGCATGCAGCATTGTCGTACGACTGTTGGATGAGATGTATAATTGTCGATGGCACCCCTTAGTAGTAGCGAAGTAGTTTCCAAATCACCTCTCGATCGACGCTGCACCATCGAAGGCATTTTCAAAATCGATGAAGTTGAGATAGAGGTGACTGCCATAAAACTTATACTGAATGTCAAAAAAAAAAATTGGAAAATAAAGGAATGGAAATCAGTCGAAAAATAAATAATTACATCTCATCCCCCCCCCTTGGGTGTAGAGATGGTATTTTCATTGTTGCATTTCGGTCTAACAATGTTTCTTCATAGGGCGTGAGAGATACTCACATTTTCAGTTACTATCTTCCTTGAAAAAAAGAGTGACCTATTCATCGAATGACACTGAGTTTTGCACTCTTTGGATTTGGATCTGATGTTCAACTGACTCAAAACTTTGCTGGGACATTGAAAATAGATCAATGCATAGAAAGCTAGAGTGGAACAGATGACTGAAATGTTTTTACGGTTGGGTGCTCATAAATTGCCCAAGGAACCTAATTATTATCTTTGAAGAATCTACATACAATTTGATATACAAATAAATATATAAATATTATATTATTATTTTTCCTTTGGGTTCCTAGTGAAACATAGGGCTTCAACTGCATCTCTCCACTTCCTTCTGTCTTCTGTTGTACTTTTTACCTGCATTCATGTTAGTCAATACTGTTCCAACCCCTCTTCACACGATCTCCTCCTCCATGTCACCTCTGCACTGACGTCCCAATCGCCGCCGCTTCCCTTTCGGGTTCCACTCGACCAATGGCCTGACGCGCACGCGATATCACACAGCGGCCTCCTCAACGAGTGTCCAATCCATCTCAATCCACTTTCTCCTGCATATTTGTTGTTGGTGGGCGATTGGTTCTTGTTTTGTTTGTTCCAATAGTTTCTTGTTGGTGGTGATCCTTTCCGACCCGGCCATCTGATTGATCTTCAGTATAGAGCCAGCGAAGACAGTTGTTGGTTGATAAAGGTCTGCAACAGGCTGTTGGAAATATTCTTTGTGACCCGCCCCCGCCAAGTTTCTCATCCGTAAAGAAGAACTGACTGACTTGACGTTGTTTGTATTGAAAATCCGACCGATTTTTGTTGTTGATGCTGAGTTGTGTGACGAAGATTTCCAGATTGGTTTCAGGTTGATGATGTTGATGTGTTTCTCGCCTTCCCGATTCTCGCTCGATTTGACATCCTCGTCTGTTCCGACTACCTATAGTTGAGACAATTCTCCCTAGATAAGTGAGTGAATGAAGTAACCTCTTTCAAATTCCTCCAATTGATGGTGATTGACGCTGGATGTCGCTGTTGTTGTTGTTGTTGGTTGGTTGGTTATTTTCATAACCTCCGTCTTGTCTATGTTCACTTGGAGTCCTGTCTTCGCCGGCTGCTTCTTCGACCACTTTTTCAATTTTCGCCTACGAGTCTTCAATTTTGTGAGAGTGACATCAAACATAAATCATCCACGCGTGAAATCCAGGTCTTCTAGGTTCTTCACGTCGGTCTAGGATATCCCTGTCTTCTCGTTTCCTACTCACTGTCTGACGCATAATCCAGTCCACCACCTGTACTTTACTTAGCCGCTAAATACTACTGGTATTTACAAGACAGTTTTTCGCAATACGCGGTGAACTCTACTTATTGTGATGCCAAATAATCACATCTATATGCTTACTCAAACTCCGGTGGTATTTGGATCGAATTTGCGAGAATAGTTCATTGGATGTCAACACTGTTCACAACGTCAGTGAGTCATAGGTCAACACATTATACTGCTGGTCATAAGTGACTGACTCCTGGATGGAGTTACTAAGAATTGTAGTGAGAAATTTTGACTTGTGGAATTCACCATGTCGAGTATGAGGACAGAAGTTCATCGACAGCACTGGCTATATATAAATACAGTGAATTTTGATTGGATACTGATAACTAGTGTGATGTGTCTAGTCCTCTCATTGGTGCAGACTGCACTCCATCAGTCAGGTTTGTCATGTGGCCACCATTCTAGGTAGCTCGCCATCACGGTGCACATTGATTTAATGATATAAGATAGTTGGAGGCAATCGGCCATAGGAAACCCTGGACCTAGGTTTCATGCTAGTTAGCACTCATCAGCAAGGCGTATCTGCAACTGCCCTGAAGGAACTCGTGTCCCTTGTGAGATTCGAACTCGCGTCACCTAGTCTCGCCTGCAGTCAGAGACGTTACCACTGAGCTAACTATTCAGGCTCGCGGCTGACCACCTCCTGTAAGACTGTAGTGGGTAGTTTGATTGAACACTAGTCAGTAACTAGTGTGATGTGTCTAGCTAGCCCTTTCTTTGGTGTAGACTGAATTCTATCAGTTTGAATTTATGGACCAATGGATCGTGCACCCCTGAGGTTGGATAGTCAACCGGTACATCTCATAACTTGAAGCGCCTTGTAACAAACACCTCTAGAATTATAGGTGCATAATTTCCAAGAGCGTGTCGAACTAGTACAGAAGTAGCTGTTTAGTAACTTCCTAGTTTCTAATGTTTCTCTCCCCCCCCCCCGGTTGAAATCACTCCAATCCTTGTAAACTAACACTAGAAAACGATAATACTAGTGTACATTGTAGGTGGAATCTGTGGTGAATGCAGTCATAATTAATGCCATTCAGTTATCCTAGTAAAAAATGGCCAATTACTTATGATACCATTCAAAAAAAAACATTTCTGAGAAAAATATGACCAAGATAACTGACTGACTGATTGATTGATTGGATTTAATATAGAACAACTTTGCACAGATGTGTGCATCAGTTCCATTTGCCACACTTCCTCAATGTACCACCATGCAAAGCAAGAGAAGAGAGCAAATGGGAGGATCAAAAGACACATTAACAGACAGAAGTGTGAATGAGGAAAAAAGAACACTAATATGGAAGAATAAGAGAATTTTATTGGACACAAATGCATCTTCGCAATCGACAAAGATTCTGAGCCATATCATCACCAATTGTCTCCAGTCGTCATTGGTTTTCAACATCCCAAGGACTCCAACCAGCCAGCTACGCAGTCTAAACCTCCCGACGTGGCTGGCTGGCTTAAACCAACTGTTGTGGATTTCATTGACTGATGAAGTCACCGCTAGCTAACTCTTTTCCAACCTCATCTATCATCCTGTGTTAGTCAGCTAACATTGCCCGTCAGTCGAGTAAGGCGATGACTAGGCATGCACAACACATGTCCTAACCATCTCAATCGATGTAACTTCTTCACAACCTCGTCAAGATAAATATTTTTGAAGTAATAACCCAATCCAATCCTACGTCAGTTAATTTTGCTCGACGAGGGAAGAGATGGCTTGGCATGTGTAGCACGTGTCTTAGCCATCACAATATATACCTGGTCGATTGATGCTTCCTCCTCTTACCAGTAGGACTCTGCAGCTAACCTCAAAATCTACCAATGACAGATAATAATCAACATGTGTAATACACTAGTTCAAAAAATTTTATTACAAGAGTAAAATAAACTTTGAATACGCCAAAATCACTTACCATAGGATTATAAACTCTGAAGGTTTGAATGAGTAGGCTTGAATAACGACGATGCGCGTAAACCATTGTCCCGGATGAAACGCACAATTCATTCTGTAGTATACAAAAACAAAAATCATAATAATCTAAACACTACTGCGGGAATACCAACACAGTCAGTAAAATACATGTTAGATCAAAACAATTCATATTTGATTATTCAAGTATTGGTTTATAGGGATTTGATTGATTGGTTGGTTCATTACAGGGTTTCATCATGAGCTGAAATCAGTTGAAGAACCATTGGAAAACCACTAGGGAGTACTAGTGCAGACGATATAGTCCTTCTCAACTAGGCGAGGACGCTGACAAAATGAAGCAGAGTCTTCTAAACACCTTGAGCCGCAATCTACGAATGTTTGCCATGCGATTCTCTCCCGTCAAATGCAAGATGATGTTACAGGACTGGACTACACCGACTCCTAGATTAGAAATAGGAAGTGAAGTGGTAGACCACGTTGACTGCTTCACTTATTTGGGAAGTACCATCAGCCAACGCCAACGGGTTGATTTCTGACGAAATCTCAGCACGAATACAGGGGGCTCGTTTCGCATTTGCGAGTTTACGCCGTCTCTGGCGTAGACGTGACATCCGAATATCGACCAAAGGGCGGGTGTACTGCTCATCAGTCCACTCCGTCCTCCTTTATGGCTGTGAGCAAGACCTGGTCATTGAGAGTGGAAGACATGAAAAGATTAGCTGTCTTTGATCATAGATGCCTTCGTTCTATCTCCCGTGTGTGACATAACAGGGTGAGCAATATTGAGGTAATGAGGGGAAATCAATCGACAAAGTTGTGAAGTTACATAGACTGAGATGGTTAGGACATGTGTTACGTATGCCTAGTCACCGCCTTCCTCGACAATGGGCAATGTTAGCTGATATAGGGTCAGGCTGGAAAAGAGATAGCAGCGGTCAAACCAAAACATGGCTTCATCAGTCAATTAAATCCATAACAGATAGTGTAAGTCACGTAGGAAGGTGTAGACTTCCTGGTTGGGTCCTCGGGACGGTAAAAACCAATGAAGGCTGGAATTAATTGGTGACATGACTCAAAGTAATCGTTCTCAATGGCTAGCGCTGTCAGATGCATCCACTCCTTGTGACTTATGATTTCCAATGAAACTATTTTGTTCTTCGTTATTACTGTTCCTTTGTCTCACACCTCTGTTTACTGTCTCTATTATGCATTTCTTCTAGTTTCTTCTCTTGCTTTGTGTGGTACATGGAGGGAGTGTGGCGACTCGAACTGCCGCACATATGCGCAAAGTTCTATGTCGAAAACAGACAGACAGACAGGGAGTACTAGACAGCTGTTTCGTCAGCCTGAATTGGAACTTTTCATCAGTACACACCCACCACAACCGGTTCTCTGACAATTTGTTTGCTTTGCAAGTATATGGATGACAAAAATCTGAGTATCGGAATACCAACCTCATACCTGAAAGAGTTGCTATTAATGTGCACACTGAAACGTACAATTTACATTCAACGACATCATCTATAGACAGAAAGAAAGACGGGATTGCTACGGGCTCACCCTTTGGCCCACTTTTGGCAAAAAATCAGGCAAAAACAAACACTTAGTACACAACCCAGCTACTAATGTGTAAGCCATGCACAAAATGTTTAGTAGGCAATGAACAATGAGACAAGATGCACAGCTCCATTGCCTTCACCTTATTTCCTTTTGAAAGGTAAAGTTAAACCTTCAGCACCACTAACTACCAATCAGCTAACAACCTTCAGCGGACCAATCATATGAAAGAGGTGGTTTTGATTAAGGGAAACGTGTATTTATGGAGGGAAAAAACGGCATAAAAGCTGCATAAAACTGTTTCTCTGACATGTGATAAAAACATTTCTAGGCTTAGCATAGGCCTATCAATTGAAAAGTTACACCACGTTCTGTACATATATATTCATCCAAATGACTATAAATGACATCCTTTTGAGAGGCATTAATAGTCTTAATCCTTTTTTAAACCTTCCTCGAAAGCCTTCTATAGAATTGGTGTGTGTGTGTCCCTGTAATGGGACTCACCAAATCACTAGAATGGTTCACTCTGTGGTGAATATATCCATGAGATGACAGCGAGTTATAACCTTTCCATTCATCAGGTATGTACTATGGATCCCTGTTTCACCAGTCGAGTGACAATAGGTTTCTAAGGTACTAAAATTTCTGTCTGGTATTCTCTCTACGAATTCTTTCCGTAGGGAGGTATCATATAAACCGATCACCCAAACATTGTTGCCTCTCTCACGATCAATTTTTCTTCCTTCACGTTCCCCAGTGGAACATAGGGCCTTAAGCCAGTGGCTTGAAGTTTCTGTAGCAGTGTTTAATTTTACAGGATGGGGTTGCTAGCCTCATGCCCAACCTTATCGCTTTACCAGCATTATTTCTGGCTTAGCGAGGTAAAGGAGGAGTTCGTCCTGTGGCCGGGAATCGAAACTCGGACCATGTGCATGGTCGGCTAGCATCCTAAACTCTGTGCCACCGACGCGCACGACCACGGTTGTAGTTTTTCTTCAGTAACACAGTATCGTCCACGTGTACGACGGTACCTTCCTCGCCTACGACGAAATAATTCTCTCCATTTTCCATGAGGCGATGTCTATGCAGTACTGATACCAATGAACTGTTGACACGAGGCTATTTTCGGTTTCAGCAGCTGCGCCTCTCATAGGCTGTTTTAAAGCCCAGCAATTACAAATATATACAAAATCTGGGTTAGGGAAAGATGAGACGTAGCAAAAACTGTTCCTACGAAATATTAGGATTATCAGCTTACGCTCCCGAATACTAACTCGTCTCAAGCAAATTGCACAGTGATGGACACACCCATCAATCGACCCAATGAAACTTTTTATGCTCATGACACCACCCCTCCTTCCTATGCAATCTCAAATCCAGGCAATACTGCAAGTACAACTTCGTTAGAGCAGGCATTTCGTACGAACCAAGTGCTATACAACACTACATGAACCTAATTGGATCATTCGAGGTGGTATTTTTGGTACAAGTATGGAATTTCTAGCATGTGATATCGGTAGCCCAAATTCTGCAGGCCGACGCATTTGATATCAGGTATGTGCATCGGCAAGGGATCGAACCCCGGACCATGTGCATGGTCAGGGAAAGAGAGTCCTAACCGTTGTGCCATCGACACGCCACAGAGCACTTAATTATCTACTGCAATATACTGGAAGATTTCAAAAGTCCGCGTTTTTGTGGCTGCACACAATAAGTACGAGGAAAGAGGCGGTGAAAGAATTAGTTTAATATATTTTATCACCTTTTCAATCAAATGTCCGATAAACAGCATAAGTGTAGATAAAATACATCGATAATCAATAAATTTAGAGAATTTTAAGGTAGCATTTAGTTTTTAACAGTTAATGCAAACTGTCTATAGCTACTCCAAGGTAGAAAGTGTGGAGGTTTAAACTGTAAGACGTCAACTGCAAAACGCGTGTCTAAACTTCGGTTAAAATATAAAAGCCTTCTTATTGTTTGGTATTTAGTAGTTTTAGCACACACACACACACAGAGCATTCTGTTAGACATCATGTAAGCAAAATAGCTGAATAAAATATGAGATGAACTATCAGGAGAGTATTTGTATCAAAGTATGATACCTCTTCAACAGAACCTATCAACTTAAAGTCCTTTAGCGCAAATCATCCTGGGATATGTGAAGAATATTCTCGATAGCAGCGTCAGATTACAGAAAGCTTTTGGAACGCACGTTACCTTCAAACCAACACGGTCACTTCAATCGATATTACGTAAGCCTAAAGACGAAACTATCATCATCTATAACACATCACCTCCGGCGACTACGAAAAACGCTATTTTATTTAAACGCATAAAAAAACCTTGGTACAATATGGCACCAAGAGAGATGCGCCACACAATAATAATAAAACAACATAGATCAAAAGTAATAAAGAAATATAAGTAGAGAATGGATAAAGAACTTCACCTAGAAGGAAAACAGTCATGCTTAACAAGTTCAAACAGTATTCGTTAACTATCATCAGGAAGGGGAGTAAGAAGGAAATTTCACCTCGCTCACCATTGATTAATTGTGATTTTTGGCCATATCCGATAACGTTTCGAGCTATCTCACGAACTCCCACTGGGGAGTCGTGACGCACCAACCAATGCTAATCTAACACAGACATCCTTCATCCCACTACTCCACGTCATCGACTGACCACCCCTCTGCCTTTTCCATCCCGTCCCAGGCCTGGATAGCGAACAGAGACCTGTACGGAAGCCTTTGGGGTGACATTCGCAGTACATGTCCAAGCCACCGGAGCCGGTGTTTCCAGATGACGACACTCAATGAATGGTGATCTCAACACGCCGCCGGACCTCAGAATTACTCAGGCGATGATGACATCGAACGCAGATAATCCTGCGGCAGATCCAGGCAGCAGATCTACACCACCTTCACGCACATCCTTCAGAGCTGACTCCAGAATGTCATCGATGGTAAAGTTAAAGAGACATGGAGAGATCGGACAACCCTGTCTAATCCCACTGTTGGTTGGGAACAGCGGTGATAGTTGGTTGTATGCTTTCACTCTACCTGAGGTGTTTCTATATAGGGCTTTCAAGATGTCAACAAATTTCTCAGGTGCACCCCTCTTTTAACAGACAGTTCTGTCCAACGAAAACACTAACTTACGACAAAGCAAACATCTCCTTTATCTTCGCATGCAAGAATACAAACTAGCAGGTAAAAGACACGACGTATATTATCACACATCAATACGTACATCAGTTAAATTGAAAAATATAAAGACAGAGAAAACATGAAGAAAGTCAGTATAAAATTCCTACAGGCTTGGTACTTAGTTCAATTTGCATGTTTTGCCAATCAATAAAGAGTAAATCACACAAGTGAAACGTTAAATACTAGCTCAATGAGATGACCAATACTAATATAAATGAATACAACCTCAAGAAAATGTTCAAAGACGAACGGTTACAAACAGGGTTAACAAGGAAAATACTGTGCAGAGAAAGGACGATTAAAGCTTTATAATTCAATTTTTCAACTCAGAGAGAGAGAGAGAATAGAACAGCGTCAAAGAAGCCCACTTGAGATAAAAGCCTTCCCCATCATACTAATCTTAGGTTGATGACGATTTAATTTTAATAGTAATTTGCTTTATTCCAAAACAGTACTTGTGATACAGAATGGAATTCTCAGCATTTTACTACAATATTGCATCCAGTTTGTACATTAACAATATATAAAATTCTACATAGATTATGGGTAATCTCGGCTTGGTTTTGACAACAACATATTAACATGTCGGTCGGTAGCAAAGACAAAAGTGAACAGAATGTTTGAAGGTGTTAGAAAAGTAGATACTAACTAGCATATTTACTGGTGTAAGCGGTAACAGAAAGGTCGAGATACACAGAGCGTGAAAGAACGAAGAAGAACGTTTTAAGTAGAGTTTGTGAGGAAGAGAAACAAAAGAGCACATAACAGAAAAAAGAGAGAGAAAAGGAAAAGAAAGAAAGAAAACGTTGTATTTATAAATGATATGAGTTGGAACGACGAGATCCAATTGTTCTACTGACTATTCAATAAGTTATAGGTATCACACCTGATGCTTTCTTCATCGCACAGAACACGAGCCAAGTAGGGTATGGTTGAGTTTTTTGTACCTACTAGTGTGAGCATATAGTTTCCTATATAGGCTTTTGGTTCTGCCTGCCTGATGAGATACAAGGGGAGAGTTGTGAATGAAGAGGGTGGTGTAAGTTAGATAGAATGGATTGAGCCCATTTTTCACATCACTCCAAGTGCCTGTCAACCAGAATATTAACAAGCTGGTTAAGTGGCACCCTGTGGCTTACCCTGCTGACAACCTTCAACATCCTACGTAATAAGATATAGCCTTTCTTCAGTAGCCCAGGAAAAACTAAGGGGGAACAATAGAGAATAATAGGCAGGATGCAAGAGTTAACGAATCGTAAGAGTAAGGGTTGGGTGGGTTATTCCAGAATGTCTTAACTTCTTGACGGAATATGTTCTTAGAAATCATCAAGATATGAGACGACCAGGAAAGATCAGCAGATAGAATGACGCCAAGATATTTAATTTCCGACTTGGTCTCTATTTCAGTGCCCCATCTATGTTGCACACCTCGTGATTGCTAACCAATTTGTTTAGGTCGGATTTATGCCTAAAGGTGAAATTAATTATGTAAATGGAAACAGATAAAACATGGATGATTGACGGTTTTCACTATTCTGAGATAAAGTAGATGCTAACGCATTGTTACTAATGTAGTGGGTGACGACATAAGTAGCTGAATCATGACAGAATTTAGAAAAGTGGCCTCTGCATTTCTAGCCCATTACATAAGTAGCAGCCTGCCAATCTAACGTTTCACCGATTGATTGTAAACGTTTTAAGCTCTTGCCAAAAACTCAGTAGCCCCGTTTCCCGTCCTGTATGAGAATAATTAGGCCATTATATACCTTCAGATTTCTGATGTTTACAACTAGATTTTACCTTGTATTGTATCCTGATTCTCCATAGTGATTAGTCACTATACGGATAAAAAAGTCGCAGATTACGACCGACTTAATTTTTGTGTTTATTTTAGGTTTTCCTCTGTAACTGTGGAAACATGATACCTAATTTGTTCCTATGACTGACTCGATTCAACATAGAACTTTGCACCAGTGCGCAGCAGTTCAAGTCGCCACACTTCACTCAGCACACAAAGTCAGAGAAGAAAGTAAGAAGAAATGCAAAATAGAGACTAAACAGAGATATGAGGCAAAATGAATAATGATATCGAAGAACAATATAGTTTTATTGGAAATTATAAGTCACAAGGATGTGCATGCATTTGCGCAAACCATTAACAACGATTTTGAGCCATATCACCAATTGTTCCCAGTCATTGGTTTTTACCATCCCTAGGACCCCAACCGTTTCAAAACGGTTGGTTTGAAACTATAATTATAATTAGCTGTAAAATGTATGAATTATTTCTTTACTGTGAAGACTGTGTTCCTATTTTAGGGACGAATATATAATGTGAGGTTATGCACATACACCCATATGTATGCTACTTATATATACTCGATATTTTACAAGGTAGTGTAGGCAGACGGACTAGTACTGTTCAGTGAAATGTTTGTGTGTGTTGACCGCTTCTCTTATTTGGAAAATTACATCCGTGTTAACGGACTGGTTGCCAACGAAACTTCAATGTGGACACAAAAGGCTCACGTTACATTTGCAAACTAACATCATCTCTGGTGTAAACGTGACATCCTGCTGTCGATCAAAGGACTTGTGTACTGCGCAACAGTTCTCCCCATCCTCGTTTATGGATATGAGACAGGGCCAGAAGAAGTGGAAGACATGAAAAGGCTAGCTGTCTTTGATCATAGGTGTTCACCTCCACTGTTAGGTGGTGAATAATATTGAGGTTCGGTGTAGTATTACGCAAGGAGGGTAAGCCGATCGACGAGGCAGTGAAGCTACATCGACTGAGATCCCTAGGACACGTATTACACATGCCAAGCCACCACCTTCTTTGTCCAGCAAAGTTAACTGATAAACGATTAGATTGAAAAGCTGTTAAGGTTAGCCGAACAAAATACTGTATCAGTTTATGAAGTCGTTGACAGTCAGTCAGTCACGCAGCAAAAGTGTAGACTGTCTGTTTACAATCCTAAAGATGTTAGAAACCAATGACTAGAAACTGTTGCTGATATGGCTCAAAACCATTCCACTCTTCGTAGCCTCCGGGGTACATTAAATATTTATAGTTCCTATATGTTACTATACTTCCTCCTGAAAGTTTCTGCTCATTTCAATTCTTTTTAATTCCTTTTTTCTATCTTTGTATAGTGTAGCGACTTTATTTATTTATTATTTATTTAAACACAGAAAACTTGGTATAATATGACACCAAGAGAGATGCGCCACACAATAATAATAAAACAACATAGATCAAAAGTAATAAAGAAATATAAGTAGAGAATGGATAAAGAACTTCATCTAGAAAGAAGACAGTCGTGCTTAACAAGTTCAAACAGTATTCGTTAACTATCATCAGAAAGGGAAGTAAGAAGGAAATTGCAACTCGTTCACCATTGATTGTGATTTTTGGCCATATCCGATAACGTTTCGAGCTATCTCGCGAACTCCCACTGGGGAGTCGTGACGCACCAACCAATGCTAATCTAACACAGACATCCTTCATCCCACTACTCCACGTCATCGACTGACCACCCCTCTGCCTTTTCCATCCCGTCCCAGGCCTGGATAGCGAACAGAGAACTGTACGGAAGCCTCTGGGGTGACATTTGCAGTACATGTCCAAGCCACCGGAGCCGGTGTTTCCAGATGACGACACTCAATGAATGGTGATCTCAACACGCCGCCGAACCTCAGAATTACTCAGGCGATGATGACATCGAACGCAAGCAATCCTACGGAAACAGAGATGATTAGGTGCACAGAGCCGCCACACATCCTCAGCTCCGAGAGGCCAGGTTTCACAGGTGTAGAATAAGACAGCCCGAAGCACTGCATACCCATTGTGGCAACTTGAGTTGCTGCAATTCTCCACAATGTTCTACGTTGAAACTCTGTCATTTTAAATGGATCTACTTATTAGTTTTTAAACTACAGGATTTGAAAAAAAACTCTTTGAGAAATAAAATTTATTTCTGTATCTAAAATGAGTGAGGCTAATATTAAGTGAAACACTAAACAGTACATTGGATTCAATGAGTTCGACAACTGGGTTACAATCACTTGAGAAGGATGGTTTAGAGTGGAGTTAGATAACAATTACAATAATAATAATAATAATAACCGCAGTCTCCTAAGCATTAGAGAAACCATTTATTGTTTAATATATACTTGTGTGACAAAAGAAACTTTATGGAAGACTGGAGTTGTTTCACGGCACGATCAAGTTCATTGTCAAACCTGTGAACAACGCGGTGCAAAGCAAAATGTACAGCCAAGTAGAGAGTGATTACTGGGATAGGAACTTCACAGGTATGTATAATACGCTGACCACTTGTATCTAGACCCACCATATTCAATAATTAGGCTCTCTGAAAATTGATTTCTGAGTCGATGATTCGTTACCATGAAATATATTTCAAGATATATACATTAGAAAGAAATCGAATGCACATGTCCCTCTAACATGACTATATAAACACTAGTTATAGCAATTCAGACCAGAAGTCATATTTATAATGTGTAATTCATATCAATATACACATATGTGCATATCAGATTGCTGAATGAATCTCAAGTATGAATCATTTAACCGTTGCACTGACGTCCAACCTGAAGACAGTATTTGTGTATCATTACCAACTGCTTAATCCAGACTTTTCATCCTGACGTCTGACGACGCAGTATCTGACATTTTATTTTATTTATTTAGCTGTTAAATAACTAAAATTCTAATCAGTTAAAGCCTTATAAATGCCAAAAAACACAGATCCCACGTATAGGTGAAATAAAACTGATTCATGGTTGTCTAATGCCATAAAAGTATGAAAAAGATCATGGTTAACATCTGAAATAAGTACATATTAAAATCATGTTTTATTTTAGAATTTCTAAGCTACACAGAATTAATGTGATACTTAGAATACACGAAGATAAGAAAAACGGTCAATCACTTACTACATGTTTGAAGCAACTCATTTTGTGCATTATTCCATTTCGAATATCTAACAATAGGGCTTCTAAAAAAGTGTTATATTACAATAATTTGGAAATATACTGAAATTCACATATCCATGAACATCTAGGGTGAGCAATACTGGTATATTAAGAGTTTTAGACAAAAATCCATTATTAAAGATCACTATTCCATCTTCTTGAAATGAACACCCAATTAGACCATTTCCTAGACAATGAATAATTCCGGTAAAGTAAACCAACTCACCTATAAATGTTAGATCACTTTGAGAATTTTCTGGTTGAATTAGAAATGCATCTAAATCGCGTATCCTCTTTTCAAATGGTTTTAGACGATCCACAACGCATTCATGTGGCTCGTCTAATGATAGAGTCTATCTCACTATAGTATGAAAAGCAGTTACCAGTTTTTACGAACTCTGTGACAAATTCTGAAGGTGTTAGACACCACAGGAATAAATACAAACAACATAATACAATTAGATATATTACAATTCTCCATCTATTAAGAAAGCCATTAAATTATACACGAATAGAATTCTACCTGTAAAACGAAAGAACAAATGCAGTTCTCATTCCCATCAACTGGGAACCCTTAACATAGATCCATATGCAACCTAGATTCCAACGTGCAACCTTGGCCCTCATTCTAGGTCAACATAGATTACGTTACCGGCTGTATAGACAACTCCAATTTACAAGTTTATATATATATTTATTTATTTTTATACATTTGTATGTATAACTCTTTCATATTCTGAATGCCATGAAGTAGCTTTGCTGCTGAGTAGTTTGTTTAAATCAGCAGCCGTGTATACTGCATTGAAGGCGCTCTGAATTATTCAATCCTCCAGAAGTGCTCGTCTCTATCCAACCATTACTTCCAGACTGATGTTTTGTACTGTAAGTGTAGCTGACCCAAACTTTCAGCATATCGTCCACTGTTAAGTAGGTAGCAGTGACTACTTCCCTCAGGAACATGAATAATTATTGTTGGTTGGTTGGTTGCCGAAGGGCCCAATAATCTGAGAGTTCTGCGTCAATTACCTTTTGAACTAAAATCAGTTAATGACTGGTCGAAAACTAAGCAGTGCTGACGAATAGTTAAAAACTAGAACTATAGAGTTATGGAGCTTATCGATGATTCATGAAATGATATTGGTTAGCAGTTAAATCCATGGTAAAGTTCTAGAAGGATTTCTTTCTCATATACTATCACTCTTCTTTCTCAAGGCCACCCATTTGCAGACACGTAACCAGACCAACTGATTCTGCATATTATTAAGAATAAAACACTATCCAAGTGTACCTAGATAGTTCATGAACACCTGTTTCGACAGCTGAATGTGTTTATCCGGGTGTCATGGTGACAAAACAGTATGCACGTTTTTGCGTCCGAAAACCAGAATCTATTCATTAGACCGAATCAGGGCAATCGTTAAATCACTCAACATAGGATATGTGTTCTTGCATCTAGAAAGTGAAAGTGGAAATAATAGACCGTAAGAACAGTTTGTCAATGTAATTAAAGATTAAATGATCAATTCATGGTTGTTTGCCCAAACACAACTCTTCCATATCTTTCGCGGGAGTCATCCATCAGTCATCGTCTCATCGTTCGCTGTTCAGTGGAAGATCGAAAACTGTCAGTAGTATTATCGTGATTTATTGTTATAACATTTATTCTTAGAACTTGTGTGTAATAACCTTATTGTTGGTTACGTATTGGCGAAAGAATAAGGGATTCTTGAGTCGCCAATCTGTGTTCCGATTTTTCGCGTTGGTTAATACAAATTGTTTCTGAAAGTCTTCGAGGGACAGCGTGAGGTCCAGCGTAGTAAGAGCTAGACACTGACAGTTTCTTAGAGTTGGCTGACAACTGTTTTGTATATATTAACATGGCTATAAAGTGCATCAGTTGTACCAAATTTTTCAAGAGCATTTTAATAGTGTTTATTAATTTTGAGTAGTCAGTACTGCGTGGAAGAACGCGTTCAGTCATGCTTATCTCTGTTGCTGCAGTTGACGTCGTGGTTTTGCAATTAGTCTTCGGTAGATTAGTCAGTGAAGAAAATTTTCAGCTCAGGTGGATGATTTTGATATAGTTGTGCCCCATGAGCTGGTCGGTTTATTTGCGAAGTTTTCATTGCCCTACTAGGCAACATATTCAGCGCTTCGATTTCTTCAGCCGTGGAGTAATCTAAGAGCTCACTTCAAATTGAAGTATGCGCTGAAGACGTTGCCCACCAGAGTGATGAAAGCTTTGAAAATAAATCAGCCAGCTCAGAGAACACAGCTACATCAAGATTAGTCATTTCTGTCAAAATATGCTCGCATTGGGGAAAATTGTAGGCAGTGACTTATCATACTGAGAAATGTGTCTCCGACGAGAAAACGATTCAGCATTCACTCACAGCATGTACCGTCTCAGATCCTCAGGCACATGCATCAACTGACTAACCTAGTTTTTTCGAACGGTTGCGCTACAGGTGTTCAGTTTCTGCGCGAATCATTTTTCCTTAATATTTTGGAAATTAGCCGCTTTCCTCACATTATCCGGTTATCCATAGTCAACAAGGATTGTATTGTACCAACTGGAACAACATATAGCATTCACTCGTGAAATCTACATCAGGAATATTCGGATACCCTATCTAACCACGTGGAACTCAGGACTTTTATCCACAGCAAGCTCTCTAAAGGAAAGTTTGACTTTTTATTTTGCAATATACATCTGTTTATGGTTGTTGTTTTGATACTTCGATAATACAGCTATCTTATTTTTATACCCTCAAGACTTTTTTTCCGAAAATTGTGAGGTTTCTTAATTCTGTAACGGTTAAGTCTATCAAACGTGTAAGTACCGTTAAGAGACTGAGATCTAATACTAGTCAACCATCTGAAGGCCTCAGATCCGTTGACGATTCTACACCTTTACACCAGCCACACCCAGAGTTATGGTATCTGATATCATGGAGGAACTGACAGAGAATGCGGTTTGTAGCAAAACTGATTTACTGACACTTCAGAAATCAATAGCAGAACTAGAGAGCAAGTCTGACAGCGTTATGCCTCTCACACAACTGTGTGACCCACCACAAAACATCTGTCTTGAATCACTAATCAAATCCGAGCGCATAATTGACCATTTGGCTGAAGAAGCTGTTAAGAGGATTGTCTTCACATAACTTCTTGGCCTATAACATTCCAGACAGGGAGCCGATTGTCAAACTTAAGAATTTGTGTCTAAAGGCTTGTAATATGTCGTTGACAGAATGTCAGGTTTTGCGTCTTCGTAAGAAATCTGCAGACCACCCGTGTCCGGTGCTTTTCAAGTTTAGGTCTCCTGAAGAAGCCAGGAATTTTCTGAAATCTGGTAAGACAATAGACTCTTCAACACCATACACTAAGATTAGGGTTGCACCTGATTTAACACAATGCCAAAGACGATGCCGCTCAGGAACACTGAATGCTGATAACTCTAATAGGATAACTGTAGATGATGTTCCATGCGTTATTCCGTCTAGTGAAATACCTGATCATGGCATGTAACAGACATTTTCGCAGGCACTGGCTAATGTTAGCCAGGCATTATATGCTGACACTGAAATGGTGGACATAGATGAGTCAACGGGAAATAATGTTGAAATACATCGTTTTCACACTAACGCAAAAGTCAAGACAACGAAATTATCAAAACCCATCCCACTGGTGTTCCAACCATCCCCTTATAAGTCAGTTACCCCTCAGTCTGACAATCCACACTCTGTGAAGCACCAGTCGAATATAGCTACCCAAGTTGGCAAGTTTTCTAGGCGTTATGACGAGCGTCCCATTTCCACTAAGAAAACTAAATCTCACGAGGTGTCCAAGCCACAGAAACCCTACATAGCATGTGCTGGCTGCCCTGTCAGCCATCATCAACCAGTTGATCATAAGAAAAGGGAGAATGAAGCAAATAAATTAAATACTCGACCCGGAGCAAGAAAGCCCTTTGAGATAATAGAGACGAAAGCACCCCTAAGCCATCTTTCTAAGAGAAAGTCAAATATGGTAGACGAAGCTCCTAGGGTTGGGCCTAAGTTGTGTCAAGTGGAAAGCCAATTATATCCAACCACTAATTCTAGACAAACAGTACAGCAAGGTAGTAGGTATTATTCTGCGCAACCACTACGTAAACCCCTTGTCAGCCAGCCCATTTCTAATATTCTGTCGACTGAAAGTTATAAAAAATACCCCAAACATCGGCCACAGACCACGTTTAGCAAGCCAACAGAACCCATTCATACATCCTATGTATCTAGTGGGGAGCATGTGTCGATTTCTGCACAAAACTTGCTATGGTCTGATGAATACCCGAAACAGATACCAACAATTCATTCTTATACTGGCAAAAAGTTACCGAATACACATATCGGTTATACCTTAGGGCAGGATTTTCACCAGCGTCAGTTAACAGAAACACCTGGAATCATGCATATAGCACGCATGATATCGGATCAATTCCTTGCTGGCATAGCGAACAGTCTACAGCTAGGGCAAGGCATATTTCCCGGGAGATAGCTGACACAGTGTCGACACCAAATGGGGATACTAATATCTCTAAAATATTAATATCTGATTATCACACAGGTGTCTCTCACTGCATACCATATCCAAACGAAAGACCATCCCTGACTACCACCTCAAAAATCTACCTGAAGTCTTCCTACGATCCAAAGATATTGGTAAATGAGTCTGATAACATGTATATGGAGGATACTCACGGATTATTTTACCAAGATGTTGCCCGCTCACTGAAACCACATAGCCAGTGTTTATCTATTATCCTAGTAAATACGAGATCAGTTCTAAGCAAACACCTAACACTAAGTGCATTAGCTTCTATATGCAGGCCGTCATTGATTATGATCACCGAAGCCTGGTGCACAAGTGAAATCTCCAATGACAGCCTAAGGATTGATAAATACAACCTTTTTTGAGGGGACAGACGGACAGGTCGTGGGGGTGGAACACTAATTTACTGTGAACAATCCATGCGTGCAGCCCATTTTATTAACCCGATTCTGTCACAACTCAGTGACTCGATCTGGGTCGAAATGAAAGTTGTCAGAAGTAAACCTATACTTGTGGGTTGTGTGTACCAAACCCTTCGTCCAGCAGGGAATATGATAATATGCTCAGCAATATTTTTGATGTTACAGCCAATCTTCCCTTCAGTTATGAAACTATCGGAGGTGATTTCAATATGCCAGAAGTATCATGGTCTTCACTCCAAGGACCCCGAAAGTATGATAATCTCATGAATTCCATCGTCACAGGAGGGTGGACACAACACATAAATTCACCCACTAGATCCGTAAATATCCTAGACCTTACTTTCACGAACAACATAACGCAATCTACAGCATATGTGGGACATGAATTTCCAGGTAGCGACCATAAAATAGTAGTTTGTTCTTTTGACATCTTTCCTGAAACAAAACAAAGAGATGAAGCTGGCCAGATACCTATGAGATTGTACACACATGCTGACTGGGACTTGTATCAGCACCTAATTAGATGTTCTAATTGGGACTCGTACTTTTCGAACGAGTTCATAGAGGCAATTCTTAAAACATTTTATCAGAATATTGACTCAATTCATGACGTAATTGCACCCGAGAAGATCCTTAGCTTCAGATTCCCCAAAGCGATTATATTCCGACATCGATTATAAGAGGTCAAGGAAAGCACTCAATAGAATACTACAGATATCATGTGTCACGGGAGTTGAAGATTGAACGATCAATTCTTGGTTGCTTGCTCAAAATCAACTTCCCCAATTTTCGCGGAGGCATCAATACGACAGTCATCGTCTCATCGGTCGCTGTTCAGAAAGAAGTCAGGAGAAAACCGTCAGAAGTAATATTGTGATTTATTATTGTAATATTTGTTCACAGACCTTAGTTCAAATATTAATT